ATTCCTTCTTCAGTTTTTAATGTATCTCTGAATCAAAACTATAATCTGCAGAGACAATAGGAACAAACCCCATAATAACAATCCTATTCACAATGGAATATATTTTTTCTTCAAATTTCCTGCTCAAAATTGAGTTCACTAAATGCATTCCATGTCTTATAAAGAATACTCATATCCAACGTGCCTATTTTAAACTATAGATTAGATGTCAAGCATTCAATGATCTTGATAAATCTCTCACGTTTTTGTTCTCATTTGATAACATATCCTGTTAGAATCACAATAATTTGATATAATTTGGGGATATTTGTTCTTCATTCTTTAAACCATTGTTTAATTAGATTTAATTAATTTAAATAATAAAAAACACTACCAAAAGTATCCCTTAAAGGACGACTGAAGTTTCATAGTGTAATACACATGATCAGTGTTCCTGTTAGGAGTTCTTCAGATTCCTTCTGTATTTATAAAGTCCCTCTGGGGTATCATCTCTTGGTGACATGACTTGTTCTGTCTTAGTGTAGTGTAGTAGAAGACTTATCTGTTTACAGGATCTTACTTGCATTAGTGTAAAAGACATTTGTGATTGACCCCCAAAGCAGAATTTCCTATTTACTGTATAGTTTTGCCTTCTTGTCCTTTTGTATAAATGCTCTCAAGTCCAGATAGCATTGTAAAAGGGCTGTAAGAGTTAACATTCATTAACATTTAGAATGCTTTGTGTTTCAGCTTCAAGATATTAAATTAGCTAGTGTTACTCAGCAAAGGCTATGTATCTGTCAAATTTTGTCAATATCAAGCAAATCACTTTATTAAATGCATTTTAATCTATATTCTTGGTCCACTGACAGAGAGTCCATACAACCTATGGCTTTTGCATCTTCTAATAATGATAAAAAGAACAGTTATGGGGGGGAAACTTAATCCTAAAGGTGCTATAAATATATTATGAAAATATTACCTCCCCTTTCTTCACTGTTTTTTTGTTTTGGTTTCTTTGTAGTTTTGAAAAAGGAAGGATGATGCTTTTAAGTAAGATAATGCTATATTGAGAAGAACGCAATCGCAAAGACACCCGCACAGAAAGTGTTGTTATGTTGTAGAATGCTAATCTGGTTCTTGTAGGCCCTTGAAATTAGGATTTGTTTAGCAGACACACATGGAATATATATTTTTGATTTGTTCCAGGGACTGGTTCATTTGTTTCCTTAATGTTTCATAGATATTATGGAGTTAAAAGATGAAAGCATCTTTTAACTCCATAATATCTATGAAACATTAAGGAAACAAATGAATCACTGTTGAGAATTGTACAAAACCCATTACTCAAAGTCCCACATCCTCTTGAATGCTTGGTGTTGATGCATCCCATTTCCTGAAAGCACATCCAGGCATTTACCAACCACACTTACATTGACACACCTGCCACGTACGTGGAACTTTTAAAAGAGCTTGATATTTCTGTTCTTGGAGAGATGGATCTGGGTAGGTTCTCTGCCACACACCCCTCCAAATGGATTTCTTACAATCCTAATAACCACAAAGATGATCAAGAGATGCAACCATGTAGGGTTTTTTTTTGGGGGGGGGGGGTTTCAGAAAAAAATAATTATAATTATAAATAATTATAAAGCAAAAATGTTATTCCAAACCAAAAAGTACTAAAAAAGGAGGGAGGGGTAAGGGAGGGAGAGAGGAAGCAAAGAAAGAAGGAAGGAAGGACTAGCCAACTGTACAAACTTTCTCCCTGTAATATCCATGTGATAAAGTATAAACAGAATATTATTTGTTTTAAAAAGTTATTTGTCCTCGGCCTTCTTCCAGGATATTTTTTCCAGTCTTTCTTGTAAACTAGTTGATTTTTCATGTAAATACTAATTAGCTCAAACCTTGCTTAGCGTCCTGAAATTAGCTATGTGCTGCCATCTAGTGGAGTGTTTAGGGAACGCGGGTTGGGTTCAACTCACAACCACAAAGGGACCGGATAATCAGAATGAAGCAGTTCAAACATTAAGTGAGGCATCATGTGACTGCACCCAATTTTTCTGTGGTCAATAGGTGAGACATCACACGGCCATGACTTGCAAGACCTTTCCTGCCAGCTTTTCCACTGATGTTGCTTGTTGGAAGCTAGCTGAAAAAGTCGCAAACGGCAATCGTTATGACCCCGCTGCCATTGTAAATATGCAATGGTTGGCAAGCACTGATATCACAACCATGTGACTATGAGGATGATGTGATGGTCGAAAATGCAAGGACCAGACGTAACTTTTTTCAGTGCAGTCATAACTTAGAATGGCGACTAAAGAAATAGTCATACACTGAGGACTACTTTTACCTAGATTTGCATCATATGTTCCAAACACGAACAAGCAAATTGCCTTAGACTCCCTGAAAATATGATATACAAGAAAAATACACCACTCTTTTTTCAAACAGTGGGCCAAGAAACCATCACTGGGCACACACAATCCCTTTGTCAAACTGCCACCATCGTTCCCTCTGCAATCATTCAATTATGCCAATATACTAACAGGAGCTCCAAAACAATGCAGCATATAGCAATAGCACTTTAGACTTATATACCGCTTTACAGTGTTTTACAGCCTTCTCTAAGCCAGAGGTCCCCAACCTTTTGGGCACCAGGGACCGGTTCTATGGAGAGAGGTTTTTCTGCGGACTGGAGGGGGCGTTGTTTTGTGTGCTGCCTGCATCTCACGGATGAGGCTTTGCTTGTTTGTGTGGACTAGTTGCTGGCATGCCGCGGCCCAGTACTGGTCCACAGACTGGGGGTTGGGGACCACTGCTCTAAGTGGTTTATAGAGTCAGCATATTGCCCCCAGCAATCTGGGTTCTCATTTAACCAACCTCAGAAGGATGGAAGGTTGAGTCAACCTTGAGCCGGTCAGATTCGAACTACTGGCAATCTGCAGAATTAACCTGCAATGCAGCATTCTATCCACTGCGCCACCACAGCTCTTTATAGACTCACATAGGAACAGAATTGGATGGAACAGAATTGGGCGGAAGATTAAGTTATAGCACGCAAAACTGTTGGGAAGGGAACATTTTCAAGGAAACAAGAAAGTCCAGTTGTCTTTTGGAAAAAAGCACCTTTGGGACAACCATGGCCCGGATGATTAAGAATCTCCATAGACAAATGGCATGAATGAATAAACTCAGCCTTTGTTGGGGGTAAGGGTGGATTAAAGTTTTGACAGACAAAGGAAAGGGTAAGTCTCCTTTTCCCCTGTTCCGGGGAAAAAAAAGAGATAAACCCACACTGCAAATGTAATTTTATGCTGCTTCAGGCCAACGCTGTTTTGCTTTGATTTGTAACCCTAGAGCAGTGTTCCTCAAACTTCACAACTTTAAGAAGTGCAGACTTCAGCTCCCAGAACTCCCCAGCCAGCATGGGTTACACTTGCCAAGTCTTAAAGTTGGCAAGTCTGAAAAGCACTGCCCTAGAGCATATCTTGCTACAGAAAAATGAGCTTCAGCGTCATACATAAATAATAACTAAAATACAGTATATAAAATAAAAAGACTACACACATATAAGCTGGGAGAAAGGTGAGAAAATTCAATTAATATTGCATAGCAGCCCCAACCAAATTGGCTATCTTCAAGGTGCATTTCAAGAAAACTAAAACACAGCTGCATGTCTCATTACATGTGTGAGAATTTGGCTGTCTGTGGCCCCACGTGTAAATGAACATGTTAAGCAAAGCAATCAGTTGTTCTAAATCTGTAAGAATGGCAACACCTAGTATATAAAAAATGGGGTCATATTCCAATGCTATATATTACCAGTGATAAATTTATTAAATGTTAACACTCCCAAATATGGATGAGATTTCAGGTCCAGCTTAACATGAAGTAATCTTGTAAGTTACTAAAGTCTGCTCAATTGCTAAGAGCCTTCTGCCTACTCCGCAGGATTTTATCAGCAGGAAGACACTGCTTTGTGTTGGTTGAAATAAATTCTTAATCTTCATTCAATGGCCTCAGAAGGATAATCAATGGGATTCCTAGTGATTCAATGCAATATATCATCATGTTCAATTTACTGGACAAAAAAGGTTGATAGTTTTAGTTAAGTAATTTTTTTTCTTTGGCACCACAGAGAAAATAAATGACTTACCTTCTGAGTAAGCAGAGCTTGTACAACCTGGTTGGCTACCTATAGAAGAAATAAATCATAGCTGAGAATTATTTTTCACAATTAGGAGAAAAAATAAATTCTCCTAACTTCCATAGAAACTGAGAGTCTACTGTTGTTGTTTTTTTTCATTTCAAAACTTGGTAGTTTTTTAAATGACCCCTCAACACAACGTTTTTCATCCTGCAAAGTGAAAGGGGTAGAACCAATTCAGACCAGGAGCCATACAAGTCAATTAGTTTGAAGGTAGAAACCAGCATTTGTTTTCCAAATGGAAAAGGCAGCCCTGGAAGTATCAAAAAGAAAAAAAAAATAGATCATCTGTTCATTGCAGCTAGGTGGCATTGCATGCTCCAGAAAATTAAAATACCTACAGCTCAATCAGAGTAGAATTTTACCATACTTTTTTTATATAGACTTAAATCAAATAACAAAAGCTTTGTTTTAAAGAACTATGTATAGAATTAATTTTACTCAATTCTTTTCTCATCTACTAGGATTATTATTTTCTGTATTTTCATTTATCATTAAATTTAAAATCCCAAATTAGATAAAGTCTATCACATATTCTTATTATGCGATTAATAATAATTTAATGAGCGATATACTACCATTTTTGTTTTCTGCTATGAAGCCCTACTTTTTATGTAAATTTTGAATAAAATGATTGTTTAGAAATGAGATACCCTTTCTTTCACTAATGTGATTTAAAAAAATTGTTTCATGTGAATTAGAATTTAATACAGGAATTCAGCCTTTTTCTAAATACTTATATTTTTATAGAAGTCAAATGCTTGAAATGATTCACGTTCTCATAAAATGCCTGATTCCCTTCCTATCATTTCCAAAATTGTTCTCTTACCTAAGGCATCACAGACAGCAAAGGTCATATGAAATAGCTATCTCTATGATTTAATACAAGACACAGATTAAAACTGTAGTTAGAACTCACAAGAGTATATAACTATAACTTTTTGGTAAGAGTGGCACAGAAGAAATATGCTATATTGGTTTTTTTAAATCTACAAATAAGCAAATACTTTAAACATCACCATTAATATTCTAAATGTTGGGAGTTCTGTAAAGTACCCACATATTCATTGAAACAACTGCACAGACAAAGTGATATAATAAGAGAGGAGAAGGATAAAATATTTCAGGAATTCTACAAATTTTAATAAACTAAGTGTCTGAAATGAAGATAGTATATTGGGAAGATGATATATGGATGCTTTTATTTATGGAATTACTAAAGAATTGCCTAACAACAGCAAGATAGAGCAGTAGATACTATATGCTAACAAATACATTATTACAAATGTCACAAAATATTATGTAATGTGCTTGGTAGGTTGTTAATGCCTTAAAATAAAATCAATACTTTTTTTCTTTTTTCATGCTACAATTTCCTGAGCTTATTTATTTATTGTTCAGGGAGGGAGGGAGGGAGGGAGGGAGGGAGGGAGGAAGGAAGGAAGGAAGGAAGGAAGGAAGGAAGGAAATAAAGTGCTGTTTACACTACAATTTAATTCAAGTACACAATATATTTTTCCTTAGAGGAAATAACAGAGATTTTAACTAATTTGAAAGCAATTGTTTCAGGGATAACTTTTAAAAAGAAGAATGTTAGTCCTTTTAAAAAAATAATGTTATTTATTTATTAGCTTTTTATCCCGCCTTTCTTACTTTATAAGAAACTCAAGAAAGGGAAGAAATAAAATACTCCTCCTCCTTTTTTTACCCACAATGGGATCTATCCAGCAATTCTGAACAAAGATGAATCTGATCTTTTCTTTTTTATTTCTTATCTCAGGTCCCATTTTGGTTGTGTCTTCTTCCCTCTTACTTTCTTCATGTCAAGGGCTGTCCAGCATTTGGCCTCTAGTTCCCTTATACTCTTTGGGCAAAAACTAATTTTAATTTATATAACAAGGGTTTAAAAACATATTCCCTTTCCATCTACAGTGCAATCAAAGAGATTAGCTTGGGCAATACTATTCTTAGCCATGCAAGTGAGGTAACACAACCAGTCTTAAAGTTTATGGCTTATTGGCGCTATTTAATTTCATTATTCAATTATCAATTTTGATAGCAATACTGCATGCCGAGTCATTTTTTTAGTGATTGCAAATTGATTGGATGTTATCTTCTTTAACCTTGTTTTGGTTTCATAATTTTATTGTGTGAAGATCAACCGTTCGATTTTTCATTTGGCTTGTTTGTTATACTACTTTAAAATGGTGTCATCATAATGACCTTCGCCATTATCACTCAAAAGGCTATATTTGCTTGCCACTATACCCCTTCCAAACTATACCACTTAACAAACAATATCCAAGTCTTCTTTGTCAAAGTAACACTTCTGAGTAATTCTATTTTTTTCCAAGGCCACCACAGGGAAAAATATATATATATTCTATCATTTTATCTGGCTACCATAATTTGTCTATTTACTGCAAAACTGTTAGTCTCCTATGATTTTTATCTTCTCAGTTGCCAGGCTTCCATGGACCATCCCACACACACGGCTCTCCAAGCTTTGTTTGAAAACCTTTGTTTGAAAATGGAGCATTAGTGACTCCAGGAGGCAGGCTGAAATTCTCATGGTCAAGAAATTAAGGATTAAGGAGGAATTTCAAGACCATGAGAATTACAGCCTGCCTCCTAGAGTCAGTGCCTAGAGGTTTTCAAAGCGTGGATAGCCATGTGTCTGGGATGGTCCAAGGAAGCCTGTACTGGGCGGTAGACTGGACCAAAAGAACCAGGAATCCCTTCCAACCCCATGGTTTTACAACTCTAAGGCACGAGCTTCATTCCTTCATATTCTTTAGTTCATGGACAGACAAAGACCTCCCATTTTTTAATTAGTAGAGAAGATATTGTTGGCCTTGATGCCTGGAGATTTGAACTAAAAGAATTTTTGTTATTTGAAAAAAAGGATACAGCAAAATCTGTGTGAAAATCGAACTGCCTACGATGGCTCCTTCGCAATAATTCCCGTTACCCTAAGAAGTTTTCTAATAACTGAAATGAAACTATGTGAATTAGTTTATGATCCAGACATATAGCACTCTACAATAATAGGATGGTTGTCTGAAAGACGGCCAGTTATATAAATATTTTCAATAAATCAGTTAAAAAAAATAATTAAAAACTTGAGAAGCAAGTCAGAAAGCTGAGGTATGGGAGGGAGAAGGGGACATTTAACCAAAGACTAGGAGACCAACTTTCCATCCATCTCACCTCATCAAGACACCTTTCGTATTGCTCTCGCTGATTTTTATTTTCCATAGCCAGTGCGGAATTCTCTGCCTGAAAGACACACAAGCACATACATACAAACAAAATATAAATTAGTTAGTGGATTTAGTGAAGAACATGACAGTTATACCGGTAGTCCTTGACAGTTCATTTAGTAACCGTTCAAAGTTACAACGGTACTGGGAAAAAAAGTGACGTATGACTGTTTTTCACACTTAGGACCACTGTACCATCCCCATGGTCATGTGATCAAAATTCGGACAACTTGGCAATGGTTCATATTAATGATGATTGCGGTATCCCCTTTTGCGACCTTCTGACAAGCGAAGACATTGGGGAAGCCAGATTCACTTAACAGCCGTGTTATTAATTTAATTACTAATTTAACAACTGTGGCAAGAAATGTTGTAAATGGGACAAAATTCACTTAACAAATGCCTTGCTTAACAACAGAAATTTGGGGCTCAAACGAGGTCGTACGTCGAGGACTACCTATGTTGTGTATGCAATCTCATCATCTCATAACCGTGTAGGATAAATACACAGTTCTTTATGATCTAATGTAAACTTTGAATTTTTTAAAAAAAACCTCCAAATACACAAATTCTGTTAACGTTATGAAATTACATGAGCAATATATTGCAATTTAGAAGAGTCAGACAGGTCTCTGTAATGTTTCCTTGACAGATAACTGAAAACAGCCTTTAGTAAAAATACTGCAGTGGATATTTGATATATCAATTTTCTTTTATTCAAGTCTAGGTGCTAGGAAACCATGTGCTAGGAAACCATGAGTCAAGGGCATTCTCTTCCCTCTCTAAACCAGAGAGTTTTGTTTAATATTAACAGATTTACAACTACAATAATAAAAACTGATTTCCTTTTATCATTCAGACATCATAGCACTGATGGCTAGGGCAGTCATATTTTCATTTTCATTTGTTTTAATTATTTTGGTTCTTGAACATGCATTTCCCTTACTATATACACAATATTTTGTTCAGAACAGCAGCAGAACAGGTATCTAAGCTTTTTTCATTAAAGCAAACCAACAAAGAAACCTTCAAGACTATAAAACTAAATTCATCAGTACAAACTAAAGCAGGAGAGGTGGTTTGATTCAACAGTAAATTCCATAATATCTCTGCATCTGGGCAATCCACAAAACCAAGGCAACCTTTTTTTTCAACGGAACTACTTCTAAAAAGCAGAAATCTCTTCTGGCGTTTGAAATGCCAGGTCAAGGCTGAGGGATGAAACAACCATGATCACCTCTGTGTCACGATGAGAAAGGTGTCATTTCTAAAGCACAAAAAAAGCTTCTCTGAAAGAAACCCAAGGGTATCATACAGTGCAAATCCCATTCTAGTCCATATAAGTGATATTTTAATAAAAATGTTGCAAAAAAAAAAAGATGACTCTGTTCAGAATTCATTCAATACCTTTACGAACCATCTTTTCTCTAAGAGCCAAAGGTGGGATCAAATTCTGTCCTACAACTAGGCCTTCTCGCCATACATCAATTATGTGAGATAGGCCAGGTCACTCATTTGTCATTGCAAAATCTCTTGGTTCATATCATGGCTGAGGCTGAAACTGAAACTGGATCTTCCTGATAGCTATTCCAACATATTAACCACTATCTGACACGTATGGATGGTGCCCGTCTGAGTAAATAAGCATTAGCACTCAGCGAATAAGATTGCTACTAGTAAATAAAACATGCCATAAAATACTGAAACATAGAAATACAGAAAAATCCTCCTGTTCTGGATGTTACATCTCATTCCCTCTTCACATCAGTTTTCTATTATTCCCTATTCTCATCAGTCTTCCATTATTCCCTTCAACAAACATTAAGCCAGCATTTCCAGCACAGAGTGACTCCTTAAGTGACCAAACATTGCCACAATCTTTATATGGTAAAAAGTTAAACAATTCTCTGCAATTCTGAATGTCAAGTTGTTTATAAATTCAAAATAAGAACAGTGAGTTTGATAGGTGGAAAAGTTTGGACACCACTGTAACTTTTTTTTTTGGGGGGGGGGGGGAGAAATAATAGCTCCCAAACATTTCCTATAGTTAATTTTCTTTCTATTTATGTAGTTATTTCACTATTTCTATTCTTGCTTTTGGACTTTTTCCCCCACTCTTCCTTTCAGAATTCTTCTAGTTCAGAAATATTTGTAGGTCTCATGGCACGCACTGCATGTCTTCAACCATATTCAAGAATGCCATTACAAAACATTTATATTTCTTTTCTGGTTGAACTGAACAAAATGTTTCAGATCATTGTCTTGCTGAAATATCCAATCTCTGTTCAACTTTAAACTTTTTACTAATTACTTGGATACAAAATTTTCTTCCAAATTCTGATTCACTGAAACATGATTTGATCTACTGTTTGTATGTACAACATTATATAAAATGGCCACATTTAAAGCAAAATAAATCAGCAGCCCACTATCCTATCCGTGTTCACATACCATGTGTTTACACTCAAAATGACCCCATTCATTACTTCATTACTTCCAAGGACTTTCAGCAGGCACTTTCTGCAGACATCTAGAACACGGGTGTCAAACTCATGACGTGTCGCGACGTATCGCGACTTTTTCCCCATTGCTGGCAATGGGGTGGGCGCAGTTTTGGTGTGGCCCATCCGACCCGTGGGCCGGCAGTTTGGCACCCCTGATCTAGAATAAGCCATCTTCAAATAACTTGGCTCCAAGCTACACTTTGACACGCACCCCCAAAACAGCTGGCCATCATTGCAATTATCACAATATTAGAACTTTGTGGCAATAACACATTAATAATAGCCATATCCTTCATTAGAGGTGCGGTTTCTGGAAGGTTATTAAGAAAAGCCCCACTTAGAGTGTATTATACTTGTTAATCCATGACATGACAAGATCATGAGTCACTGTTGCTAGCACTTTCTGTTCCTGAAAAATCACGAATGGCATAAAAACTAAAGCTGGGGAAAAGCCTTCCTTACCACAGCTTCCATCATATATCCTTCAGATTGGATTGATCAATGACCTTCAACTCCATACTCATGAAAAATATGCCATAATTCATTCTTATATATTTCATCATATTTCCTCTAAATCTACAAGCATGCAATAAACATTCTCACGTTCATACATTTTTCAAAGACCCGCAGACAAAGATCCAGTTTGTCTAGCAAAAGACATAATCTACTTCCTAAATCTTGAACACTAGATCTTTTGGCATTCTTTCGATCAAAATTCCATCTGACATCTTCAACTCAACTTTACAAACTAATTGTTTTGTCTTTCGCTTTCTAAATTTCCTTTTGTATAGGGAGACAATCATGCATTCTTCCAAATTACAAGCAGACATGCAGCTTCACAAACATATTAAATAAGGAACAGAGCTACTGTATAAGGAAACCATACCCATATTTTAACATTTCTCCAATTAGGCCAGAGGTAGGCAACCTTGGCTCTTTTATGACTCGTGGACTTCAACTCCCAGAATTCCTGAGCCAGCATAGCTGGCTCAGGGATTCTGGGAGTTGAAGTCCACGAGTCATAAAAGAGCCAAGGTTGCCTACCCCTGAATTAGGCCATCTATATCTGCAGTCTTACTGTTTTTCAATATTCTCACCAGACATGTATTTATCACTTTCTATTCTTCAATTCTCTTTTAGACTCTTTAGACTTTTATTATCATTCCTTCAAGAAATCAGAGTCATATAAATCTCTAAAAATGCTTCTTCCAGCTTCTCGCAGTTCAGCTGGCCAGAGAGGGAAAATTAAAGTCCACGAAGGGCTTCCCTGGAAAAAGGGAAATGAGGTCCCAGAGAGATTATATTTTCACTCAAGGTCCAAGATGGGAAAGAGGGAAAGAGCTGGCTTCATGCAGGACCCAAGATAGGAAGGAGAAAGACTGCGGATGGAGAAGTCTTGGTCTCTGGGGAAAGGAAGGACTGGGCAGAAGAGCCGAGAGAGGTTATTTCCCAAATGAAGGAAAGGCAGAAAGTTCAGTTAAACAGATCGAAAAAAGGAAACAAGCCATGCTGAGGAAACTAATCGTATATTCAGTACATTCATTTCTTTTTACCCTCTCGTCATACATCCAGAAGCTGGGGAGAAGGAGGGAGTGAAGGGGAGGGAGTGAAGTAGTTACCAAGAGAGCTAAACAGTCTCTAGGACAGTGGTTCTCAACCTTTTTAATGCCGCGACCCCCAACCGGTCGTAAGTCGAGGACTAAACCGGTCGTAAGTCGAGGACTAAACCGGTCGTAAGTCGAGGACTAAACCAGTCGTAAGTCGAGGACTACCCAACCGGTCGTAGGTCGAGGACTTTCCCTGCCCGGGAGCACCACGCATGTGTGGCTCCGCCCCCTGCGCTGGCCGAGGCGTAGCTGGCAAGCGGCAGAGACGGAGGAGGCCGACCACCAGCTGGCCCAGCCCAAGGGAGGTAAGGCACCCGCCGGAAAAGGGGAAAAAATGGCGGACAAAAAAATGGCGGACAGCCTTGCTTGGCGACCCCCGTGAAATGGTCAATCGACCCCAAATGGGGTCGCGACCCATAGGTTGAGAACCGCTGCTCTAGGAGAAAGACTCAGGAAGAAACCTGACACCAGGCTAAAAGCCTTGATTGTATGGTACAACAGCAATAGCAATTAAGACTTATATACCACTTCATAGTGCTTTACAGCCCCTCTCTAAGCGGTTTACAAAGTCAGCATATTGACCCCAACAATCTGGGTCCTCATTTTACCGACCTCGGAAAGATGGAAGGCTGAGTCAACTTTGAGCTGGTTAGGATGGAACTCCAGACCGTGGGCAGAGTTAGCCTGCGATACTCCATTCTCACTACTGCACCACCATGGCTCCTTTTACAAAAACCTGTGGTAAATATACCTATTGTATATAACTGCATTGTATATAGTAAATAAAAAAAGCTCCAAAGCCTGTCTTATCTTGTTTCTCTGCGTCCATTGTATCCTTGTAAATCTTATAAATAAACCTCCGGTTCTAAAAGAACCCAGAGAACATTGTGACAGCCTTCTTAAGG